CCAGGTCATAGGTGACATACGGTCCCTTGGCCACAGAGTTGCCAGCTGGTGTAAATGACAGCAGCCTTCAGGCTGTTCTAGTCAGGGTTGAGAATCTAGCAGTGAAATCAGAATCCTAATTTGTTTTTGGTTCTCAGCATCTCCTTCTTTCCTCCACTCCCCAACCTGCTATCATGGGTGTCTGCATAGATAAGTAGATCCTGTCCATAGATAAGTAGATCCCACAGGCTCAAGCAGAGCTAATTTAGCTCCTGTGCTGTTTTCTCAGGGGTTCCCACAAACCAGCAGACAACAGAACAGCCAGAGCTTCTCTCTTTCATCCCTTGTAATGCAACAGGCAGCCAGAAGGGGAGTAGCCTCTTTAGGGAAGAGACAGCAGCTGCCCAGAGCACTCTCAACTCACATTAGAGCTGCTCGTAGGCCAGCATAGTCAGCAATAGGGGCCAGTTGGAGAGGTGGTGCCCCCATCCCTGTGGCGATTGGGCTAATGAAAATTTTTCTGTTTAAAGCTTATTGGGGATGACCTAGGGAGCACATTTTCAGTTGATAATCAAATGCATATTTTCTTCCCAACACCATCATCCTTGCGGACTGCAGGTTGGACACCCCTTGACTAATATAATAATCAAATTATAAAGTGACCCAAGACCCAACTGCCACTATAAGAGACCCAAGTGGTACAGGACAATTCACTCTTGCCCTCACTTTATTTAAGATGATCAATATCCAGAAAGCAGGATGGGTGGAAAGCCATTGTTCTGAGCAAATAGCCTTGAAGAAAAAAAAGGGACTATGCAAAGAACAGACAAGTAAATAAAAGGTGGATGGTGGTACATGCCAAGAATACCTCAGTGTTCAAACACTCCCCCCAAATCTCCCTCCCAAAAAAAGATTTTGTAGGGGAAAAAAAACCTTAAAAAACAAGAACTGATAACAAGTATATCTATATTGTTTTCAGTATTCTTAATTTCACTTTCTTCAACACTTGTCTGCCTTGAAATAGGATCTTTAGGTATTTTGATAAAGAGACAGATTGGACGTTTGTCTAGTTTTTCTATATTCTTTATTGACAAACTGCATTGTAATTTCTTACATGAATACTCTTGAATCAAGACATGCCTCCATCTCTCAAATATATGTCGACCTTTAATATCTAGGGAGATCTCTCTAACAAAGGAATTAGCATATCATAAATATCTGATATTAAACTAGAAAGATGCAACATTACAATGAAAGCTCATTGTCCTCTCTCCCCTTCCTCTACTTCAGTGGTTCTCAACTAGGGGTATATGTGCCCCTGGGGGTACACAGAGGACTTCCAGGGGGTACATCAACTCATCTAGATATTTACCTAATTTTACAACAGGCTACATAAAAAGCACTAGCAAAGACAGTACAAACGAAAATTTCATACAGATAATGACAGCTTTATTACTGCTCTATAAATGATACACTGAAATGTAAGTATAATATTTATATTCCAATCTATTTATTTTATAATTATATGGTAAAAATGAAAAAGTAAGCAATTTTTCACTACTATGTGATGTGACTTTTCGTATTTTTATGTCTGATTTTGTAATTTTTTTAAGTGAGGTGAAACTTGGGGGTACAAGATAAATCAGACTCCTGAAAAGGGTACAGTAGTCCAGAAAGGTTGAGAGCCACTGCTATACCTGATAAAGGCAGAAGTTGGGGTTCCCCTATCTATATATCTCCCTCTGCTGGATGGGACCCCTATTCAACTATTCCTCCTCATTTGAAGTCCAGTAGCTTCTTTTCCTCTCTATCCTCTTCACCAGGGGAGGAACTCTATGGCTACTGTTCCATTGGTCTGTTTTTCCAACATCCCTCCTACTATCCAATATACAAGCCCCAAAGCAGTATGAATACTGCTATTATGATTGGTATTCCCCTTGCCTTGTTGGAGAATCAGCTAGAGGACCACAGCACAGGCCACATGTACAGAGCTTTCCAGACACACATGGAGTTCCAGAGTCATGGGAGGAATATCCATCAACGGTACAATAAGAGGCTATGTTCTCCTTCTAAGTATTTCTTCACACAACGCACAGTCAACCTGTGAAACTCCTTGCCAGGGAACGTTGTGAAGGCCAACACCATAACAAGGTTCAAAAAGAACTAGATAAATTCATGGAGGATACGTCCATCAATGGCTATTAGCCAGGATGGGCAGGAATGGTGTCCCTAGCCTCTGTTTGCCAGAGCTGGGAATGAGCGACAGGGGATGGATCACTTGATGATTACCTGTTATGTTCATTCCCTCTGGGGCACCTGGCACTGGCCACTGTCAGTAGACAGGATTCTGGGCTAGATGGACTTTTGCTCTGAGCCAGTAGGGCCATTCTTATGTTCTCCCCACCAATCTACCAATCACAAAAGTGTGCTAAGTTATGGCACTGGGTCTCTAAATCCTTCAAGAGCAGATCTAAAACAAAGGCTATGATGAAAGAGAACAGACTATGAAGAAGAGATACTACATAAACCTTTAACTTCCCTTCTTTTATGGCTGAGGGTGGTCAGGAAGTATTTTGTGAAGCTGCTGAACAACAATAGGCAGTTTGAGAGGAGAGAGGGAGTAGATTACTCCAAACCATAAGCAGCTGGGGAAAAAAATACATCAAGAGAAACAGCTGTACTGATGGAGTACAACTGCTGGCAGTGTGGAGAAACTTAAGTATAAACACTCTCTAGGGTTTGAGATTAGAACTTGGCGTTCGTTTTGTGACAGTGACAGAGGAAAACAAGCTAGCTTTAAGACCGCATGATAATATACAAGACTGACTTAGTTTATAGTGAAAATTAGAATGTTGGTCTCAACCAAGGCCCTGGAACATTTCAATATGATCCGTATGGCCCAGAATACCATAGTGACACTATTGAAAGTTATATGATTTTGTTCCCATATATTCTGCAGTGATACTAGAGAAGGGTGTATGTATATGTATATATATTTTCTAAACCAAAACTTATATATTTTGGTTCCTATTGTAACCAGGATGTCCACATCAGAAATGCTTAACATTTAAGATAATGAAGCTGAGCAGAAGCTGGAGATGAGACAAAGAATGAAATTCTGCTTCCTTTGACTAACAAAAAAAATCTCTTATCTAGACAACTGTATTTCTGATACCCTATGAACAATCTTTCAACATGCATAATTCAAGAGTAATCTTTCATCTGAGCCTTGTAATACCCTCAAGGACCTTCTGTACTTTTAAAATCTTTTTCTGGGAGTAGTCTGCTTTTGATTCATGAGATGGAAGATATGCACAATAATCCTCTACACACAAGAGAACAAAACTCTGTTAATTATAAACACAGGAAGGATGGACTAGTGATTAGGCCATTAGCCTAGGAACTAGAAGACAAGGATTCAAGTCCCTGCTCTGCCAAAGGCTTCCTGTGTGATCTTGGGCAAGTCAGTTAGCCTCTGTGCCTTAGTTCCCCACCTGTAAACTGGTAATAAGTAGTACTGCCCTTCCTCACAGAGGTGTTGAAAGCATAAATATATTGATGCTTGTGAGGAGCTCAGATACTGTGGTGATGGGGACCATAGAAGTACCTTAGATCGATCTATTGACCTGGTTGATGTGCAGTTTGTCCACACTAAACATGCAAATGACATGAATCTTACAGTGTTTATGCACCAATGGCTTACACATCAGATATATTTGTAACTGAAATTTTTTTGAAAACAGAATGAAGTTCACTAGATCTTATGTTGCCATACACAATAAGTATTTGAGCAGTTACTTAAAAAAAAACTTAAAAGATATGTCACTTCTACAAACTGCATGATGTACTTGTTTTCTTTAATTTTCTGTACCCTTCCTATGCCTCTGATCACACAACCAATCAATAAGCAGCAACAAACCGGCCAGAATAGATAACACAAACCACACCCACCCTGTACAACCTGAACAGTCACCGCAGTAACGATCCTGTATCAAAAAATATTTGACCAAAAATTATGTGCCTTGCTGCATGCTTTGGAAGTTAGTAAATTCAGGCTAAGAGGACTGCTATATTGAGCAAGTTCTACAGAGATAACACATCTACTTTCCACTGATAACATCCTGCCTCAAGCCCTGGTACATCTGAGAACTGTCAGCAAAATCATGTCAGGTGACCTTAGCCATCAAGATGATGCATATGAAAAGAGGTTGTCTCTAATATAGCCATGCCTCACAGCATAGGGCTCCGCTGATTAAAAAATCAACATTTTCAAGAAAACCAGAAAACAGAGAGAAAGCAGTGCATATCATCTAACATGTGTGATGTGTTCATGCCAATTCATTCCACTAAGGAGGACCACTTCTTTCCCAAATTCAACCCTGCATATCACTACTATGCCAAGAATACCCTAATCTATTGAGAGAAAATCCAACCACTCACTTCATTCCCCAAACATTTTCTCATTTTTTGCCTTATTTTCTCTGTTCAACCCTGAGCTCCACCAAGCCTTCAACTCAATACATTCAAAACAGATCTCCAACTCCACATTCACCCTACTATCATGAACCGAAGAGTTTAACTCAGTGGTGGGCAACCTGTGGCCCATCAGAGTAATCTGCTAGCGAGCCGCCAGACAGTTTGTTTACATTTGCAAGCCACCCTCAGGTCCCAATGGCCGCAGTTCACCGTTCCCAGCCAATAGGAGCTGTGGGAAGCGGCACGGGCCATAGAGACGTGCTGGCCGCCACTTCCCACAGCTCCCATTGGACAGGAACAGCGAACCGCAGCCACCGGGAGCTGCGGGTGGCCATGCAAATGTAAACAAGCTGTCCAGTGGCCCGCCAGCAGGTTACCCTGATGGGCCGTATGCCGCCCACAGGCCGCAAGTTGCCCACCACTGGTTTAATTGACTCTGAATTCTCATTTGCCTCCTACCTCTCCTAGGTCTATAAATCCATCTATCGCTTCTACAGCACTCTTACATCAAGCACTATTTCAGCCACTCATCTTCCAATTCATACCTTCATCTCCTCTTGTCTTAACTACTGTTATTTCCTTCTTTATGGATTCCTTATGTCGCAATGTTCCAAACGTCAACTTGTCCACAATGCAGAAGCTCATCTTCTCACCTAGAAACAGGAAAACAGCACCCCATATTCATCTGCTCTTGCTTCCTTGTCCATTTTAGAATCCAGTATAAGTTTCTCCTCACTTCAAAGTCTTCCATTAATTTAGTCTACAGAGAGGACAGTTTCAACACCAGATTCTTCTATTTGTAGCTCCCCATCTCCATGTCTACGCACAGGTTAACCCACACCTTTCCCTTCTGAAACAGTCTTCCTGCTTCTCTCCATGCATCTCCCTGATGCTTTTCAAATCCTCTCCCCTACACTCCCCATATCAACTTCCTCTCTCTAGTAAAATTCACAAACCTCCCATCCTATTTTCTCTGTATTCGTTCACCCTCAGTCCTAAAATATTTTAAGATACTTCAGTACCAGGATTAGATACTGTAACCATCATTGTATTCACATGTACTGTGGAGACTAATCACTAACAGCACTTTTCTATGGGAAACTTTTCTATGAAGGTCACTATACAAATCAAATGAACTAAGATGTTAAAACTGAACTATACAACATACGCTACATATCTGAAGTTTGGTTTTTAAAAATGCCACTGTTTGAAAATATGTTCCACAAAACTCAAGAACATGTAGACTCAATAAAACCTCCATAAGGAAGTTCTGAATTGCAGCTGAGATACCTTTCTTAATTCTCCAGCTACATCCATTGCCTGGATATGTTCTGATGCCCTGTATTCTAACATGGGTGGGAACTACACAACTTTTGAATGAAGATTTTAATTATCAAATTTCTGAATCAAACAAATGGATATTACATTAGTACTTACCATATGTGCTGCAGTATCCAGATACAATGGGATGTGTTAATGACGTAGTTTTGAGCTTTTACTCAGAGCTTCCTGGGTTCTGTGGATTTAAATGAAAGTTTAATTTGAACATACTTTTCAGTAGCTTTTGATATACAGTATCATTTAGAAACCTTGTTACGAGGATTTATATAATGTCACACTTTCACAATGGGAGGGGGCAAAGTTTCTATTATATATTCATACATGTTTAAGTCAGGGATTTAAGTTGACTATGGAATTGCAGGAATCACATGGTTTGTACCAAAACATATGGTAGAGATCAGCATTGCTTACAGTTAGCAGGCTATGCTCCTGAGGCAGTACCGGAAGCAGTGGAAAAGCAATGAGAACCACTGTTCTCATAGTACATTTTCAGCTAGAGGTGATCCTCAGAGAGCATGAAATTTGATCGCCCCAAAGAAAGAACATAGCAAAGCAAAGACGGAACAGTGTGGGGAAGAAAAGAGAAGAGATGTGACTATAAACTGGACCAGTCATTGCCTTAAAATAAACTTGATTATTACAAATTCCACTCAACATTTATGTTGGACACAAGGCATCAGAAGATCCTGCTTTCAAATAAAAAAGTAAAGCGTTGACAAATACTTCAATATTATAGGCGGTGTCTTATGGTGGTGGTGGAGTACCACCACATGCACAGAAAGAGAGAAGCAGCATGGATTTTTATTTGCCATACCTAGACACAAGGCCAGTGATTAATCTAAATAAGCTCCTTAGATTTCTCATACATCCAAATGCAACATCAACTTCTCTCATAGCAAGGCTTGAAAAAAAAAATTTACTTGACACATTCTAGTCAGATGACTAAGGCAGATGCAGGGAATGCAAGTACACACTTCTACAGATCCAGGGGCAGCAGTAATGCCCCCCCCCCCACCTAAGCTGCTCAAAAAAGGGTGGATGGTGGGATTCCTAGGACAGTGCTGGGTTTTGTCCCCGCTCAGAGGCTCTACCTGTTCTATATGAAGTATAGGTTTCCCCAGCCTACTTTTTGCAGCTGGAGGGGGAAAGTTTTCCTCCCTACCCTGAAGACTCCTGACTGTTTGTGTGAGGATTGTGTTGGGGTTCTCTACCACTGTTTTTTTGGCTCCCCTTTCCAAAGAATATCTCCAGTGCCCCCCCTGCTGCTGCTCATAGCTTTCCCAAGCAGTAGACAACTGAAATTGACCTGCTTCTTGTCTATTTCACAGAAGCTGCCAAGAACTGAACAACAATGAAATTAGCCTTTCACTCTATTTCCCCTGTTTAGGAAAGTTTTGCACCACAACAAAGGCAGGTGCTGGAACACCCTGTCTACAAACTCAGGAAGGCAGCACTACCTTAGTTCATGCAATGAAGGTTATCTTCACAACTATTTGGAATCAAAAGCTTCATTTTCTTAAATGAAACTTTTGATTCAGCAAGAAATGACGACTTAGGCCACCCCAGTCTTCAGGGAAAGTTTCCTACTCATAATGTAACACAAACAGACAGGATGTTTGTATTTCCAAGACTGTGATCAATAATGTTTTTGCAAGCCAGCTGGCAAGGGCTGTTTTTATGTGATTCTGCAGGAGGCAGTACATTGCAATGCAGATTCCCCTCATTCTCTGCAGGATTCTGCAGACTCTGCACATCCATCACTGCAGAGAAATTTTATATTCCAGCTGTCTACAGTTCTTTTTTTCTCTCTCATGGTTGGCACCTCCATTCCTGAATTAGGCCTCTCCAACCAAACTTTTGTCTGTTTCACTCTGAGGTCACCCTTCCCCCCTCCCTTTTTCTTTTCACAATAATGACTGCTCAGGGTTGACAATGCCAGCTGGGAGCTAGAAAATAAATTATTCAGTTTAAAAGGAGAGTCCTCACTAGAGTGTAAGAAGAGCAATATGGCTTTGCCTGTGGAGTTGCTCCTCTCCTACACAATAATGGTGTATGGCAAACAGTGTATACCTTAAATGTAATGCGACAAGGAGGGGGAAAGGGAAATAAATATTCATTAAATCATAACACATTTTAATGTGAACCAAGTCAACATTTCACCTTTTCAGATATCATTAGAACACTTGCATTTTTGGGAGTGCAATGACCAACTGTATTTTCTTAAGGGTTGGGGAGGAGAGATCACAAAAGAGCTGACAAAATTGCCCACTGACTCAGTCTTGTGCCATTTCGTGGGTCCACATGAGCAACACAAATTTTTGCTCATTTAAAAAAGAGAGGGTTGTGTTTCAGTGATTGTCTCCATTCATAAGATTGCCACCAGAGAGCTTCCTCCGGGCACACACAATACTCGGAAGAGAGTGCTTTAGAATATGTCCTTCCCACACATTTCTGGCTCACCACCTCTCTATAAACCTCTCAATGGGCAGCACAATGCAGTACAATCAGAAGGGGGGAAAGGCAGAATTGCAAGACAATGGACCTGTCAAAATCAAAGAAACGGCAACCATAGCTCCTGGTTTAGCTTCCAGAAGCCAGCAGGATGGGATGCCAAGGCACTGACCCCACAGTGATTGTTCCAAGACCAGCAGAGCCTCCTCATTACACTTATACCAACAGCTGTACACAACAGGCACAGTGGAAAAAAAAAACAAAACCCATAATAAACCAAACATCTCTGCACCCAGGGATGCTGGCTCCTTCCCTCCGGAGCCTTGTCTCTTCCCAAAGAGCCTTCCCTCTGCCAAAACCACCATCTTTTCTCCCATGCAAAGTCTACCCGGCAGTGGCAGGGTACAGAGCCGTGCAGCGCACACAGCAAGGCGGGCCGGGGAGGAGAACGGCGCCGGGTGCTCGGGCAAAGCAGCGGGAAGGGCCCCGGGGTCCCTCCACCGCCGCCGCCTCGGCGCTTGACAACACAAAGGGCAGCCGCAGCAGCAGCGCCGGGGGAGCCCGCGCAGCGCCAGGCGCTTCCCCCAGCCCCACGGCCCGGCGCACCCCCCCACAGTCCTCGAACCTGTGGCGGGGGTTGAACGGACCCTGAGGCGGCGCTGAGGGGGCTCGTCCCGTCCCGGCGGGGAGCCTGGGGCGGGGACCCCGGACTCGCTGCTCCCGCCCCTAGGGAGCGGGGCTGCTCTGCTGGTGGAGCACGATCCCTCCCCCGCGGCTGGAGTAGGGAGCCCAGCCCCGCCGCCTCAGCCCGGGGAACAAAGCCCAGTCAGGCCGCAGGGCCTGCTCTCCACGCCGCTCCACCCCCGCCCGCCGGCGGCGAGCCCGTGGCCGCAGCCCGCGCAGCCAGGGGACGAGTCCCCACCCCGGCGACTCACCTGGGCGGGCGGAGGGCGGCGGCCCCACTGACCCACTTCCCAGCGACTCGCTCCCCCGGGCCTGGCGGCAGAGCCCCACGAGCAGGCAGCGCCGAGCGATCGCGGCAGGAGGGCAGCCGGCGAGCCCAGCCCCAGCCCGGCTCTGCTGCGGCAGCCCGAGGACCCGGCGTGCAGGGAAGGGGAGCAGGAGCTACATTATTTCCCCCTCCCCTTAGCCGGTGCTGCAGCTGGTTTGGGGCAGGGTCAGCAGAGAGCCGGCAACAACAAGCCCCACCCAGAAGGGAAACAATGCCCTAGCCAAGCCCCCCCCTCCACTCAACCTTAGCGGGTAGGAGCAGCAGGCACCCCCCCGCCCCCCATATCACCCTATTGCCCCCAGCTGGTAGCATCAGGCACTCACCCAAATGGCCACATTAGCCGCCCCTACTAGGTAACATCAGGCACTTACCCAGATTTTCTTCTCTTCCCTCCCCCAGCCTACCCCCACCGGGTAGGATCAAGCACTCACCAGATTTCCCCCACTTGGTACCATCAGGCACTCATCCACACTGAAACCCTCCCTTCTGCCCTCACGGTGTAGGATCAGCATCAGATACAGTATTCATCTAATTCTGAAAAGAGAGTGGCCTCCCCTGGGTGCTCTTACTGCCTTCTTCCTGTCTTTAACCTCTTAATCACCGGAGAAAGAAGAACAATGCCTGACCCTGCTGTTAAGGATAAAACAGTACTAGTATTTTATGTATTAAGTGCCCACCCCTGGCAATCTGCACGGTTACATGTATAATAACAAACAATTCAGTGTGACATCTATGAAGATGGACACTTTAGAACTTCCTCAGAGAGAAACAACAAAAACAAAATGAAAATCCCAAACACAATACTAGGCCAACAAGAGGCCCTATCCTGTACTCCTTGCCTAGACAACAGTAAAGAGATACATAAAACATAGGATACTGGGCCCCAAGAACATTTCTACCTGATCCTGCCACAGCACAAGGGGCTGGACTCGATTACCTCTGGAGGTCCCTTCCAGTCCTACATTTCTATGATTCTGCTTTGGTGTGGGAAAGTATCACTGACACCCTTGAAATAAAACCCAGACTCCACCCCCAAAAGCATTGTGTTTGTTACCTTGCAAGCTTCCTTCAGTGAGGACAGGTTATGATTTACAGTATTCACCAACAAAACCCAGAGTATAAAAAGTCACAATAATAAATATCACTGTTTCCTAATGATTAAGATGGGGCCATTGTACATTTCCAGCATATGGATGGACTGGAGGCAGAACAGACAATGGGTTAGCTAGTGGTGCTGTTCATACTGTGTCAGCACTTCTGTTGTTCTCCCTGTTTTTTGAGAGCTTTATATTTTATATTATAAAAATTAACAAGGCTGAAACTTGTCATACAGAATATTACAGTTGAAGCAATTGTTCTTATTTACAAACATTTTTAAATATTCTTTCAGCCACTTTTTAAGATGTAAGGCATGAGCTTCAGGACCCCTCAAAAATTTAAACATATGCTCACTTTATGCACATGAGTAGTCCCATTGGCTCAGATCTTGCAACTGACTGCTTGAGTGGACCCTGAGTTTGTTCAGAGTCAGTTGCAGGATTGCGGCCACTAAATTCAATTCGACTATTCACATAAAGTTTATCATGTTTGTAAATGTTTGCAGGATCACGGCCTATGTCTGATCATCAGTTTTTTCAACCAAAATGTCAGATTTTTAAGCAAGGGGACACCTGTATTTTAATTCACTATTTACATTTACTTCTTCCATATTACATACAAATTTAGGGCATGGATCTGCATCAGTAACTGCACAGGCAGATCCCTGCACCCATGCGGAGCCCCATTGATGCACAACATGAATGGAGTCAATTGCAGGATTGAGGTTTTAGGGCTCAAATGGGCACATAGTACTTTTTAGTTACTACCTATTCCAATCCACAGAGCAGAAAGAAAAAAGAGTCTGTGCTAAAAAGGGGTACTGAGATCTGGAGAAAATACAGCTGGAATGGTCACCTCCTTCCCCCACCTAAGCCACTCTGAGACCACCAGTTGCAGAGCCAGGGAGCAGGGGGGATTTCAAGAAACTCCAAATGTAGACCCTCACCAAAAACCAATACTCTCCCAGCAGAAAAGTCAGAGAAATACCCAAAGAGGGAGTGAGCAGTAGCTCACAGTGTCTCCAGCCGCCTTATAGTGGTGAACCATTGCTTCCTCTTTGCCACCCTTTCACCAGCAACAATAGCAGAACCTCAGCAGTATGTGCAGAGTGTGGCACCTTCACAGCTTTTTGTGGTAGGTTTTTCTTTTCTTTGCTTTTTTGTCTCATTCTCTTTGTGCAACCTCAAATGCAGTCTTGTCAAATTATGGAGTCGGGGGCAGCTAGAGGCACCTAACTTGGATTATAATGCTTCGCAGCCCAAAGTACACATCATGCACCTGTTCTTAAGATTACTTTCATTTTACTTGAAAAGGGGAAATAATTATTTGTCAAAGATATCCTACAATTGATATTGCCCTCCAACTAGGGAGTTATCTGGTCACTACTTTAAGAAAAAGATGCAAAAACATACCAAAGCTGTGTAGCACCTATAAGAAGAGTTAACAGAAGAGAAGGATCATTCAAGAAGCTTCAGTGGTTAAAAGTTTTTATTTTGCAGCAATTAAATAAAATGACCATAAAATGACATCTGTCATTTTCTCTGCCTGCCATTTTAAGATTACCATTTTCTTATCTGTGGACAAGATAGCAGGAAATCCTAATGAATGAGTGGAGGAAGTGGAGTGACCAGAGGAAAGGTTTGCTAACACACAGGATGGAGACCATATCTTCAGGGCCTGTAATAGCACCAGGCAGAAGTAGTAAACAAATACATACATACATAAAAAGGAAAGTGCCTGCACAACAAAACTGAAAGAACAACTTTTGCAGCCTGGTTCTCCAGGAGGGAGTTAAAGGCCTTTTCCTTCCACAAACTTGTTTGTAACATGGCTTTCAGAGATATTAAATCAGGACTGCATACATAATCCCATTAAGAGCTACCATGACCACGGCACTCACACCTTTCCTTTTTACCTCCAGGTAACAAAACAACAAGAGCTGTTATGCTTTTGATCCACTTCACAGAGAGAATCTGCAAAAATCTTAGCAGTACTGCAGATGCAAGAGCAGATGCAATACAGAGGGAAAAGATTTGTTGTATATTTCAAGTTTCTTCTGTTCTTTCACAGTAAGGATAGTATAGGTTGAAGCCAAGGCCTTCCCAAGAGTTAAAGGTTTTATGTATGCCTCCCTGTGAAGAAGTTCAAAAAGATCTCACAAAACCAAGTGATTGGGCAACAAAATGGCAAATTAAATTTAATGTGGATAAATGTAAAGTAATGCACACTGCAAAAAATAACCCCCACTTTACATACAATATGATCGGGGCTAAGTTAGCTACAACTAATCAGGAGAAAGATCTTGGAGTCATCATGGATAGTTCTCTGAAGACGTCCATGCAGTGTGCAGCGGCAGTCAAAAAAGCAAACGGGATGTTAGGAATCATTAAAAAAGGGATAGAGAATAAGACGGAGAATATCTTATTGCCCTTACATAAATCCATGGTACGCCCACATCTTGAATAATGCGTACAGATGTGGTCCCCTCATCTCAAAAAAGATATACTGGTGTTAGAAAAGGTTCAGAAAAGGGCAACTAAAATGATTAGGGGTTTCGAACGGGTCCCATATGAGGAGAAATTAAAGAGGCTAGGACTTTTCAGCGTGGAAAAGAGGAGACTAAGGGGAGATATGATAGAGGTATATAAAATCATGAGTGGTGTGGAGAAAGTGAATAAGGAAAAGTTATTTACTTGTTTCCAAAATATAAGAACGAGGGGCCACCAAATGAAATTAATGGGCAGCAGGTTTAAAACAAATAAAAGGAAGTTCTTCTTCACTCGGCGAAGGCTAGGACTATAATAGGGTTTAAAAGAGAACGGGATAAATTCATGGAGGTTAAGTCCATTAATGGCTATTAGCCAGGATGGGTAGGGAATGGTATCCCTAGCCTCAGTTTGTCAGAGGGTGGAGATGGATGGCAGGAGAGAGATCACTTGATCATTACCTGTTAGGTTCACTCCCTCTGGGGCACCTGGCATTGGCCACTGTCGGTAGACAGGATGCTGGGCTGGATGGACCTTTGGTCTGACCCAGTATGGCCATTCTGATGTTCTTATGTATCCAGCAGTGCTAAGGGTTCTTAAAGGTGACATGTTGCACACATTCTGCAAACCCTGTGAAGCGGCAGCCATCATCTGACAGAAAAGATGATATGGTCTGAAGATGAGAAGAAGCCTGCCATTCATAAAATAGAAAGGGTCACTCCAATATTTGTATCAAAGAATGGTTGCCAAGTTTATTCTGGTTTCCGGTTTAAAACTAGAATTCATGTTATGTAAGCTTTCTTGTTCTTATTTAATTAACATGGGTGGGGGTGTATTGTGTTCCTTCCCCTTTCGTAATCTTTTTTTTTTTTAATTACATAGATGGCAAAGAACTCCTCTGACTCCACCTGCTCCTTTCCAACAGGACTCAGAGTGGTGGATGATATCTGTTACTGTTCCCTGCATGCCCTCCCTGCCAGTGCCCTGTAGGCATCTATTCTGTCTCTCCTCTTCTTCATATATCTACAAAAGACAACTTGGAGGCTCCACTGGCAACAGTACCACTGATGACCCTCAGTTAGGTATCTCATTTTCCACAGATTCCTCCAGTGCCACTATAAGGTTGTTACAGGGCCAACGAGAGTTCAGTTCCTGAAAGCACAGGTGGCTTTAAATGCCATTGGGTCAAGGCTGAGGCAATATTTGTCAGAAGGGGAGCTGGGGAGAAACGCTTTCAGGAAAACTCGCCAGGACATTGTCCTCTCCTTAAAGACAGCTGCCCTTTGTCAAGGTAATGACGCTTTTAAGGCTCATTTCTGAGGCTACATAATCAGGTAACTTTCATGGCAAAAAAAATGCCTTCTTCCACCTCCAGCTTGCCACAAAATGTCCCCATTCCACCCAAATGAGTACCTGGCAAATGGTACCAAATTTATCACTTCCAGACTGGATTAATGTAATGCACTATATCTCACGCTGACTGTGAAACCCATATATTGTGCAGAATGTAGCAACCTGGCTCCTCATCAGGAAGGACTGCTGTACAGTCTCTGTGATCCAGTCCTTACACCAACCAGCTGCCACTCTATTTCTATTTCTGCTGTTAGAATCAAAATCAT